AGTGGATGGTGGAGCTATCACCACTTCCCCTCCACTGTGTCTCTGGATGGACAGAAAGGAACGGCGAGCCCCAGGTCATGGTCACCAGTCCAGGGAGTAAGGAGGTCATCTCTGGAATGCTGTGAGACCTGTTCCTGCCCCTCTCCTCCTGTTCTCCATGTCTGCTGTTGGCAGGACAGCAGAGCCCTGGCCACCAGAGGTGCGAGTGGCACCTTGTCTGTGCGTGCGGATGCGGGGGTCGGTGCCGGTGAGAATCTGACATGCGCCTGCACCTGGCCGTGAGCACGTGCGGGCGGGCGAGTGTGTGGCGTGTGTCCGCACCGCTGTCCCAGCCCTTCCCCTTCCAGCAAGCCGAGAGGGCGCCCTTGAGGGGGCCGTAGCAGCAGCATCATGGCCTGGGCCGCCTCTGCGACCAGCCTGGCAGACGAGGTCACCTGCCCCATCTGCCAAGGCACCCTGAGGGAGCCGGTCACCATCGACTGTGGCCACAACTTCTGTCGCAGCTGCCTCACCCGCTACTGCGAGATCCCAGGCCCAGACCTGGGGGAGCCCCCTAACTGCCCTCTCTGCAAGGACCCCTTCCACCCCGGCAGCCTCCGGCCCAACTGGCAGCTGGCCAACGTGGTGGAGAACATCGAGCGGCTCCAGCTGGTGTCCGCGCTGGGCTCAGAAGAGGAGGGCGTCTGCCAGGAGCACGGAGAGAAGATCTACTACTTCTGCGAGGACGACGAGATGCAGCTGTGCGTGGAGTGCCGGGAGGCCGGGGCGCACAGGGCGCACACCCTGCGCTTCCTGCAGGACGCGGCGGCCCCCTACAGGGTAGGAGAGGGGCTGGGATCCCAGGGCAGGACTGGACCAAGGAGCAGAGCTGAGCTGTGGGTTATTTAGGCCACCCTGAGGCCCAGTTCTTTCTCCTTACTGATGTGATTACCCCAACACTAGCCTCAGGCACGGGACATCATGTGGTTATATTTTTGGTGTGTTCTGTGATGGCCAAAGGACAATAGGAGCTCAGTAAATACTTGTTGAATGAATGAGTGACCAAAACATTAGTGCGTGTGTCTGTGCGCTAGATAGGTGTGTCTGAGGTTTGCATTTGAGGGAATGGTTACACAGTGTGTGTGTGTGTGTGTGTGTGTGTGTGTGTGTGTGTGCACGCAGGGGCCCCCAGCCTATGGTGAGTTGTGTAATTATTTCATTATCTACTACAATGTAATAATAACAGAAATAAAGTGCACAAATAATGTAATGAGCTGGAATCACCCCGAAACCATACCCCTTCTCCCCGGTCCATGGAAAAATTGTCTTCCGTGAAAATAGTCCCTGGTGCCAAAAAGGCTGGGGACCGCTGTTAATGTTTGCGTGTTTACAGGTGAGTGGGAGTCTGAGTGTGTATGTGTCTGAGTGTGTGACCTGTAACTGTTGAAGAGTTCATGTTTGTGAATAAATTGGTGTTTACATATATGCAGGTTGGTAAATATTAATATATGTGGCATGCCATTTTATCTGTCATTAAGTGAGTGCGTGCTGGTTTTAGTTGTTTATGTGTTGTGTTTTCGTACAGGTGGGCATCTGTGTGTGAGGATGTCTCAATTCATTAGCATTTGATGTTGAGATTTCTATGTGTATTTTTGAAAATACCTGTATGGACATTTATGTGTGTTACCTGATCCTAACCCTATTCTAGAAAAAAACAAATTTTAAACAATTCATGGATTAATTTTGCATTACCCAAGTTTCACCTCCCCTCTGCAATCCTACACAGATTATTGATTCTAGTAAAAAGAGAGGGTCGTTATTTGCACGTGTTCCCTTTGGGACGTGTCGGAAACTTGGAAGAATTTCAGTGAAAGGCATATCAAGCTCAGGACAGATCCCAGATGTTACTTAACGAGCAAAAGGAAGCAGGATGTTTAACCTGAGGAAAGGCTCAAGTGGGAAAACAAAGTCACAGCTGTAATGTCACATGATAAAGGGGAGAAGCCCTGATCAATATTCTTGGAGCACACAGCAAGGGGACAACCCAAAGAGAGTGAGCTGTCAGGGAGGCACAGGCTCAGGCCTTGTCAACCCAGGGAGACACCCCTTTCCTGGGGCCACGTCACCCTGGAGGTGGGGGCTGGATGAGCTGACACCCTTGAACAAATCATGTTTCCCTCTTAGGTGTTTTACATTCCTTCTCCCCAGGAGCAAATAGAAAAATGTCTCAAGTGTCTAAGAAAAGAGAGAGAGGAGATTCAAGAAATCCAGTCAAGGGAAAAGAAGAGAATACAAGTCCTGCTGGTAGGTCCTCACCCCTTCCCCAGGACCCGCCCCTTCCTCAGGGCCTGGTGTGTCCCTGAAACCAAGGCAACATGGCACATGGGGCTTTGATGTCATACTGAGTTCGAATCCTGACTCTGGCGCTAACTATGTGAACTCAAGCTACTCTCTAAGTTCAGTTTACTTATCTGTAAAACGGAGATTAAACATGTCACAACCTCATTGAATTGTGGTAAGGATTATATGAAGTTGTACCTGTAAAGTAACGTAGGCTGTGCATATAGTGCACACGTCACGAAAGAGAGCAGGTGGGGTGTCCCCAGCCCCTCCTCTTCCCCTCCTCGGAGCCCTGCCGCTTTCGGAGCTGCAGCAGAGGTTGATGACACAGCGCTGTGCACCAGCTCCAGGAACAGGCGGTGGGTGGGAAGGAAACCGCCCACAGCTCCAAACTACCTGGGGACGGAGGAAGTGTTTGTGGAGGGGTGTTCTGGCCCTATCACCAAGGTCTGGAGGATGTAGATCTGGATCAGGAAGGAGATGGAGGTGAAGTAGGGGAAAAGAAGAAAAACGAAGAGGAGGAGGAGGAACATGGAAACCTCCTCCTCGGCTCTCCTCCCGCCCCTCAGACTCAGGTGTCCACCAAGAGACAACAGGTGATATCCGAGTTTGCACGTCTGACCCAGTTCCTGGAGGACCAGCAGAGCATCCTCTTAGCGCAACTGGAGAGCCTGGATGGGGACATCTTGAAGCAACAGGATGAGTTTGATTCCCTGGTCGCTGGGGAGATCTGCCGGTTTAGTGCTCTGATTGAAGAGCTGGAGGAGAAGAAGGAGAGGCCAGCAGGAGAGCTCTTGACGGTGAGGCCTGACCCCGTGTCGCCTGTGCCCCCATGGCCACTGTGTCCCCTGACACACCTCTGCCATCCCCGATGGGAGACGGCCTCCATTCTGGCCCATGCTTCCTCAAGAGTGCCCTGGTCACTCTGCTCTCTGGTCCCCACCCCACCACCTGTCCAGTAGGGAAGACACTTTCCTTAACTGCCTCACAGGCTTCGTGAGGATACAACAGAAATGGAATTTGAAGTAGCACTTTGAAAAGTACCGAGTACTTTGCAAACAAATGTCAGATGCTATTTCCAACTGCAAGCCATTCTCCCTTCCAAGTACTAACCAGGCCCGACTCTGCTTAGCTTCTGAGATCAGATGAGACCCGGTGCTTTCAGGGTGGTATGGCTGTAGATCAAACCATTCCCTATAAACTAAATGTTACCATCCACCAGTCAGGAAGTTTGTCCTGGTCTATTTCACTTCCTTGGGCTGGAGGAGAGATATTGGGGTCTCAACAAGGCATCAGAACGCAGCATGATTTAGGGGGACGCCCGCAGGGCTGAGGAATAAGAGACTTTGGTATGGGACGTACGTTTGCCTCTGACAAGCAGGGGCAGGGCACTTCACCATCTGGGTCTGTGAAATAAAGTCGTTAAGCTCTGCTCCCCCAGCCTAGTAAGCCCTAAAGCTCTGTGACTCTATGGATCTGGTGTCCTCTTTCTGTCCAGGGCTGGGAAAGAAAAGTTTGTTTTTTCTAGTCATAAGAAAAGTGGGAGGGAGACCCTGGAAACTGAATCCCTTCTCTCTCTCCCCCCTAGGATATCAGAAGCACTCTAATAAGGTAAGCAGTGTGGTTTCTCTTTTCTCACATAAATACGCATACATGGACCACGCCTAGTTATTGCCATATGAACGTGTAACACTCTCACATTAACGACCTCAAGTCACATGTAACCGTGCACATGTGCGGCTGCATTCTCATGTACTCACCCACACATAGCATTGCCGAGAGCGGGCGTGGGGTCCAGCCAGGAGGAATTCTGTCCGTCTGCCGGAATGGGCAGCTCCATGCTCTGGTGGAGGAAGATGACGGCTGAGTGTGGAGGCACCGTGAGAAGGATAATTCCCAGCCCCCACCATTTCTGTGCCTTTAGATGTGAACGCAGAAAGTGCCGGAAACCCGCGGCTGTGTCCCCGGAGCTGGGCCAGAGGATTCGGGACCTCCCGAAACAGGCTCTCCCGCTGCAGAGGGAGGTGAAGCTGTTTCTGGGTAAGAGGACCCCGGGCTTCTGCAGAGCACAGGGCGGGGTGGGGGACACTAAGCCTCCATACTCTGCTGCCGGATGGTTTCGTGAGGCAAAGCACCCTTCTGGTGCCTTGATTTCCTTATTTGCAGATTTTTATAAAATCTGCCTATCAGGATATTGTGACAATGAAGAGAGATAATAAAGGTGAAGATTTCTGGAAAAAGAATTTGATCTGATTTGAAATATAATTGAACAAATCTGATCAGATGGCGTTAAGCAATATACAAGATGATGACTAACAACATCCGCCGTTCACAATGAGTTAAAAAGCCCACGGTAACATCTGCGATGTGTGATAAGTTTTTGATGAAGAACGTTGTCAATTAACAGCCAACGACATATTTATCTGTACCCTGTGGTGGTGACTTCCCTCCCTCCTTTGCTGTCCTTCTGTCAGTCCAGCTCTCCGAGTTACTCTGCCCCTACGGGGACTGTGCCCTCTTCCCTCCTCTGGAACAGGGAACGGCGGTAGGAGGGAGGGGAGGGTTTGAAATGACAGTGGGAATGGAATGCGGCTCTCTGCCAACACCCCCTCCTGCCACCTACTTCTAAATAGCCCACCTGCAAGAGTGTCACCCGAGCACTTTCCCCACAAGTCCACTTCCTGTAAGTCTTCTCAGTGGCCTGGCAGTGAAGGAAATTTTACTTAATCAAAGCCTCACCTTTGACTGTCCCTACAATGATTTCCAAGCAGAACAAGAAATGAGTGAACTCATTTATCGCTTAGTCAAGCAGATGTTCCTTGAGCATTTACTATGTCCTGGTTCTATGGCTACATAGGTGAGCGAGGCAGACGTGGCCCTGCGGGCTCGGGGCTCGGGCAACATCAGCACCCTGAGACTTGTTAGAAACGCAGGTGTCAGCCCCACCCCAGAGCACCTGACTCTGAAACAGGTGTGTCTTAGCAAGCGCTCTGGGTGGTGCTGAGGCAAACTCCAGGTTGGAACCACTGTTCTAGAGGGTTCTGGCTTCCACGCTTCTCTGTTCCTCCCTCCTCTGGGCCTCAGTGTCCTCAGCACTAAGTGTCCTGTGGTTTCGTGAGACTAATGAAATCTCATCCTGTTTTGTTTCCCCTTTGCAGAAAAGCTCTGCTTTGAGCTGGACTATGAGCCAGGTGAGCAGCCTACACCAGGGTGGGGGAGGTGAAGAGTCCTCGAGAAGAATAGCAATTTGGGGTCACAATAGTCATATGTGCACACACATGCATGTACACATCATGCGTGTGTACGTATGTGTGTGTGTGTTCGACACTTCCCTCGTGAGGCTCTCAGGAGAACCGTGACGAAGGCACAGGCACGCACACTGCATGTGTGGTACGAAGCGCACAGCCTCATCTGCGCGTGTTGGGTGGACAGAACGATTAAATCAGGATGGGATAAGGTCCATCGGGGAGGCTTCTGGATAAGGGGCACTTTGATCTGGGTTTAGAATCCTATAGAATCCTATCTTTAGAACCGTCAGGAACGCCTGCGTCCTCTCAGATGTCATTTCACAGATGACAGAAGGAGGGCGGCCTGTGGGCGGGAAAGAAGGACCAGAGCGGACCCTTCGAGGCCGTTGTCCCCAGTGATTCAGCCAAAGACCCCGGGAGTCACGGAGGTGTTGGAAGGGGCTCACTAACCCATTGCTGTTTCTAAATTTATGAGGTTTTCTGAATTTATGAATGCTAAAAGTCACAATATGCAGGGGTCTGCAGAAGTTTTTGGTGCTGAAAAGTGGTCTTCAGACTCTGAAGGTCTTAGAGTTACTAAGGCAGAGTGAACAGTCTGCGAGTGAGCTGGAGACCCGCGGGTAGGGACCAGAAATGTGGACAGGAAATGTCTCCGCCTTCCGAGGCAGAGACAGGGAGGGGCTGGCGCGGTGTAGCAGCAGGAGGGGGTCCGGGCATACGCAGCTTTGGAAGCCAGCCAGTTTGCGGTGAGGCAGCAGCTTTCCCCAGGACGGCACAGAGCCAAACGAGAGTTGCTGCCTCCTCTGAGGCAGGCTCCTCCGCCGCACCATGTGCACGAATCGCCGGGCGTCTGGTGGAGATGCAAATTCTGAGAGGCCGCATTCCTAACCAGTTCCCAGGTGGTGCCATGCCGCGGGTCAGCGTAGGTGCTGTACACGTTGTTGGTATTAATAATAATAGTGCTAACAGGTGGGTGCCGGGGGAGTTTCAGGCCTTCCTTGAAGGTAATAGCATGTCTGCTGACATCTGTGTCCCTTTGGTTATCCCCATAGCTCACATCTCTCTAGACCCCCAGACTTCCCACCCCAAGCTCCTCCTGTCTGAGGACCACCAGCGTGCCCAGTTCTCGTACAAGTGGCAGAACTCACCAGACAGCCCCCAGCGTTTTGACCGGGCCACCTGTGTCCTGGCCCACAATGGCTTCTCGGAGGGCAGACACACGTGGGTGGTGAGTGTAGACCTGGCCCACGGGGGCAGCTGCACCGTGGGAGTGGTGAGCGAGGATGTGCCGCGGAAGGGCGAGCTGCGGCTGCGGCCAGAGGAGGGCGTGTGGGCAGTGAGGCTGGCCTGGGGCTTCGTCTCGGCTCTGGACGCCTTCCCTATACGGCTGGCACTGGAGGAACCGCCCCAGCAGGTGCGGGTGTCTCTCGACTATGAGGTGGGCTGGGTGACCTTCGCCAACGCTGTCACCCACGAGCCCATCTACACCTTCACTGCCTCCTTCACTCGGAAGGTCTTTCCCTTCTTTGGGCTCTGGGGCCGGAGGTCCAGTTTCTCCCTTGGCTCCTGAGAGGGTGCAGTTACCCTCCTCTCAGGACAGGACGCAGATCAGGTACCTCGTGGACTTGGTCCCTGGCTGCGTCACCTGGAAGAGTTGGAATGGAAATGACTGCCTTAGACGACGGGATGGAGCCCGTTGGTGAGGGTCAAGGGGCTTGACCCTCAGTCTGCTGATCAAACCCTTTCCCCAGTCCCCAGTGGATGGCCGGGCACCTGGGGACTCGGGGCCGCTGCCTGCTCTCCTCACCACCATCCCCACCGAGCACAGAAGTAGCTGTGCACAGGACAGAGCACTGGATTTAGAGCTAGAAGACCTGGGTTCTAGAATCAACCTTGTAACTAACCAACTGTGTGATTCACCTCTCTTCATCTTGCTTTCTTCCAAAAATATTGGGTTCATTTACTCACATCCTCAAGAAACATTTATTGTGTGCTATGAGCCAAGCTTCCCGGCAGCCACTGGCCATGAGAAAATAAAAAGAAAAGAGCTTGTCATGTATTTGAAGGCACTCCTGGGAAGAGATGAGACACGAAGAGGAAGTTACAGCACAGTGTGGTGGCCGCTGTCACAGGGGTCTGCTCGGCACTGTGGAGCTCAGAGGAGGGGGCATAGTCCGGCCTGGAGCGAGGGGTGAGTCGGTGACGGCTTTCTGGAGGGGACAGGTCTAAAGGACACATATGGTGAATGAGGGAAGGAGGGAAAGAGCATCTTGGAAGACGGGACAGCAGAGAACTGGTGGGTGACCTGGGACCGTGGGACACTGGGCCATCTTTATTGTTCTTATGAGCAGAGTGTGCCATCCCACCCAGCTCCACTCACTGCCTCCCTCACCCTGCTGCTGCCACTTCCGGCTGAGACGAAGGTGCGGGGCCTGGGAGTAGGGGACAGGGGAGGCATGGCTGTAAACCACAACCAAGGACCACACTCCCCCTGCAAAAAGGTGTCTTCCTGATCACTTGATTGCCATCTGCGCCCTTGTGCTGCGTTAAAAAATCCTGGGCGGAGGCTGGGGGATAAGTGGAATGACCTGTGACCTTCAGCCTAAAGAGCTGAGACTGCTCTAGGGCTGCACAAAAATGTGACATCTGAGAGGTGGGGTGAAGAAGGGGAAAATTGGAGATTTGGAGAAGATGAGTGGATTTGGCGTGCACAGCCCTGTGAGGGACCAGAGGACAGGTGTGCTGGGGAGGCTGTGGGCAGGCCTGGTGTGAAGAAGCTGGCTACTGGTGAACTGGAAGTCCCCCGTGGGTGCTCATTCTGGTCTGTGCTCTCACGCACGGCTGCCTAGGATTTGGAAAATGTTGTCAGTCGTCCCACGGTGGGATTCTAAATCCTATGCATGATAAAAGTATTGTGTTGGTCGGTAGTGGTGGTTCACGCCTGTAATCCCAGCGCTCTGGGAGGCCGAGGCGGGAGGATTGCTTGAGTGTAGGAGTTCGAGACCAGCCTGAGCAAGAGTGCGATCCCGTCTCTACTAAAAATAGAAAAATTAGCTGGGCGCCATGGCATGCACCTGTAATCTCAGCTACTTGGGAGGCCGAGGCAGGAGGATCGCTTGAACCCAGGAGTTTGAGGTTGCTGTGGGCTAGGATGATGCCACTGCACTCTACCTGGGGCAACAGAGCAAGACTCTTTCTCAAAAAAGAAAAAAAAGTATTAACTGCACCAAAAGACCATGTTTTATTTTCTAGTTCTTGTTGTGTTTTATTCTGCTTAGTCATGCCCTTCACTCACGGTATCTTTAACATTATCTGTTTGCTCTGCTCAGACTTAAACTACAAAGTTCCATCACCGCCCTACTGGTCCCTGAGAGGAGGGAGCCATCCCGGGTGCAACCTCAAAGGGAGAGGGCACAGCGTGGGTAGGCCCAGGCCTGGACTTCGCCCGAGTTCTGTCGTTCACCCTCAGCTCAGCGGTGGGAAGAGACATGGCGATTGGGAGCCAGGATTGGGGGGGATTGCGCTGCTTTCCCTGGGAGTGTTCAGGGTTTCACATAAAATGTTGTATATTCCAAAAAATAAAACACACACACTCAAATTATAGAACATATCCAAAGCTATGAAACCTGAGATTCCACTAAAAAGTGGATTATATTTTCTATTTATATTAGTTTTAGCTAGGTCTTTACCAATGACTATGAGGCCGTACAGTATATGTGTATGAGGATCCTGGCCTGCTGCTGGCGGGGTGGGTTACACATCTTATACCACTTAACCTTGGTGACTCTGCAAGGTAGACACTATTTTTTTAATAGTTGTGGTCTCGCCATATAGCCCAGGCTGGGCACAAGCTCCTGGGCCTGTCTCCTGCCTCAGCCTGTCAAGCAGCTGGGACTACAGGCTGGGGCCACCACACCCAGCTGGATCCTATGACTGTCCCCCTTTTAAAGTTAAGAGAGCTGAGGCCTGTTGAGTTTTGATGATTTACTCAGCCAAGATCACACAGCCAGGATTGTAACCCATGTCTGACTCATGAGCTCTTTTTTTTATTTTTTGTGGAGACAGGGTCTCACTATGTTGCCCAGGCTGATCTTGAACTCCTGGCCTCAAGCAGTCCTCCCGCCTCAGCTTCCCAGAGTGCTGAGATTATAGGTATGAGCCACCACGCCTGGCTGCAAGAGTTCTTAACCATTACACTGCACTGCCTTATTCAGAAACACACGCCTGGGCGGGTCCTGGTCAATATTTTAATACCGGCTGCACTTCCCACTAGCGACTTGGATTCAGAAAGACAGTTCACGTTTCTTACACTGAAACCTAAAACTGCTAGTGAGTGAAAATACTCATATTGGCCTATCAGTACCTGCTCCTCCCCTAGTAACTTTACTCGAAGTTTCCTTGCTTTCCGAGTGTGGAGTCAGCAGGGGAAGTGGGCAGATCCTGAAACATGGTGGCTTCAAGGCCAGGCAGCTGGATGGACCTCCTGCACCAGAGATGGGGCTCCCAGGCCCCACGCAGCAGCACCACTGTCTAGAGGCCCTGCGCTCCGTATGGCTCCTTCCAAGACTCCAAAGGACCACCCCACACGTGAACATCCAGACGTTTACACCTGGTTGTTTCACAGCTTACATTGTAGCAGCTCTTTCTATAGCAAAGGGACACACTCAAGTTAGTTCAAATAACAGGAAAGTTTATTATATGAACAGATATGGAAATGAGGAAAATGGGATTTTTCCACCATTAGCCAGGCCTCAAGGGAAGCCATGGCAGGGGTGGACTGGTGGGGGAGGGGACACCACCAGTTGCCTTAGGAAGAGCTAGAGGTGCAAAACTGCTGGTCACAGTGACAAGCAGGCATAGAACTCATGTTGGCCAGACACCACAGTCAGTATTTTGTGCATGAACTCGTTTAATCCTCTCAACAACCTATGAGGTAGGTGCTACTATCAATGTCCCCATTTTGTACAGAGGAGAACTGGGACGTGCGGAGGTCGAGTAACTGGTTCCAAACCAGCCGATGGTAAGTAGCAGCGCACACACTGCGTTCAGGTAGTTCGGCTCCTGTCTGTGCCCGTGACCACTACGCAGTGGTATGTTGTATACCCGAAACTGGTAGGATGGGGCTCGAGGTCCGGAGGAGTGTGGGGACTGGAGTATCCTGCGGCCTCCAGCAGCAAGGGCTGGACTCCTGCTGGGGCGGCCTGTGTGGGGCCCTGATCCCCGCTGCGGCTGCTCCTCCTGCCACCTAACACATTCCTCGCGGGTCCCTCTGAGTCTCCGAGGGAACCTGGCGGTTTCAGCTAATTATCGTTGTCCCTCTTTGATAAGGTTTTTCTCAACAGGCCACCTCAGAGATTCGATTGGCCAACGGTCTGCTGTGGTCACCGCGGCCCGGTGGTCAGAGCAGGGCTTGAGAGGCCCGGCGGTCAGAGCAGGGCTTGAGAGGCCCGGCAGCGCCTGCGGTGTACGGACTGCTCTCCACTGGAGAGACCCCAGGGGCCCGCCAGCCTCCTCCCCGGCCTGGTACATGTTCTCTTGTGACATTAGCCCCGCCTGGGATGCAGCATTGTTAGCCGTCACCTTTAGGAGTGTTCTTTCCTTGGCTAATGTCTTGTTCTTTTGGGGTCTCGTGCTTCTCTGAGATTATAGCTTCCTGCCAAGCGACTACACCTTCTTCCTGAAAAGCTACACAATGGTGCCATTGTGGGATACAGCAAGCTACTAATGTTTCAGAGATGCCCTCCTGAGGTGAAACAGCTTTTGATATGCAAACTAACATGTTCACATATTCCTTCAGGACAAAGCTCTGCAAAACTCCTGAGACATTTCTGTCTCCAATATAGTTATATTAATTTATGGAGCAACAGTTATGCTGACCTGGAATGTTCTCATCTTTCTCTCCCACCTGTCCAATCCCCACCTCCCCCACAAACCCTACCCTGACTCTCCCAGCTTCCTCGTGTCTCTCCTCTGAATTCCCAGAGCACTTAGCAGTTGGTGACTGCTGAACTTAATGCAGTGACACATTCTCTTATTATTCCATATGTGCATGTCCTGGTTCCACAGCTAGATCACAACCTGTGGAGGGGGAGTGTGATTTTTTTAAAAGATGGAATAACATGCTTGAGCTTACAATATGTCGGGCGCTGCTGCAGACACCTAGCATGTACCACATTTAATTCTGACAACAGTCCCAGGCCATAGGTCCATCACCCTCCTTTTAGAGGGGTGGTGCAGAGCTCAGAGGAGCTAAGTAACGTGCTTGGGTTACAGAGGTTTGGGGCATCAGGACCGGGACCTGAACTCAAGTCTGACCCCCGAGTCTTCATGCTTTACACAGCCATGTGGCACCTCCTTGGGACCACATTTTGTTCTCTGTGTCCCTCAGCATCCAGTGCAGTGCTGATGACCTCATCAAGAGCTCAGTAAGTACTAGTTAAAAGGCAACTGATGGCTCCCTTTAAATACGGAGGGTCACGAAGGGCCCTTATGCTTTCTATCGATTCATTCACGCAACCATTTAAAATTTTACTGACACCAGCTATGAGCCGGCACTGTTCTAGACATTGAGGACACAGAGCATTGCCCTTGCTCACCCAAAGAAGTGAGATGTATACACAAATAACTGATAGACAATCGTATTACGTATCCATCACTCCCTAAAAATGGCCACAAATCCACAAATTTACTGCCTTAAAACAACACATATTTATTGTCTCACAGCTTCTGCGGGTCAGAAGTTTGGGCACAGCTTAGCTGGGTCCTCTGCTGGGTCTCACAGACTGTAACTGAGGTGTTGGCTGGACTGGGTCCTCATCTGGATGCTCAACTAGAGAAGAATCTACTTCCACGTTCACTCAGGCCATGGGCAGAATTTAGGTTCTTGC